TATGTATTATGTATTTATATGTATTTTTTAGTTTTCTTATATATATATATATATATATATATATATATATATATATATATATATATGTTTATGTATTTATATATATTTTAAATGTTTAATCGTATTATTTTTACGTGTTTATGTATTTTTTACTTCAAATCGTCTTCACCATTTCATCTAATTTGCACAGCTTTTTCGAGTATGTCTAGATGGTTTTACTTATACCCATATATTTTAAGATTTTCCTATTCGATTTTAATTTCAAGATAAACTAATGGAAAAAGCTTAAAAAATATGAGTATGTAGGAAAACCATCTAGACATAATCGAAGAAGTTGTACTTCAAGTCGTCTTCACCATTTCATCCAATTCGTACAACTTCTACGAGTATGTCTAGATGGTTTTCCTACATACTCATATTTTTTTAAGCTTTTCCCATTAGCTTATCTTGAAATTAAACATCGAATGGGAAAAGCTTAAAATATATGGGTATGTAGTAAAACCATCTAGACATACTCGAAAAAGCCTTGCAAATTAGATGAAATGGTGAAGACGACTTGAAGTAAAAAATAAATAAACACGTAAAAATAATAGGATTAAATATTTAAATTACATAAAAATACATAAACATCTATATAAGAAAACTAAAAAAATACATAAATACGCAAAAAATACATATAAATACATAATACATAAAAAACACAAAAAAATATGTAAAATCCTTTTAAAAAATACATATAAATAAGTAAAACAATACGTTTATACATTTAAAATACATAAGTATACAAAAACATCTATATAAAAAACTTAAAAATATATATATATACGTAATACATAAAAAATATATAAAATACTTAAAAATAGATATAAATACGTAAAAAATACGTTTATTCATTTAAAATACATAAACATCTATATAAAAAGCTTAAAAAATACATAAATACGTAAAAATACATAAAAATACATATAAATATATAATACATAAAAAATAACACATAAAAATACATAAAAAAATTATGTAAAATGGTTAAAAATACATATAATAAGTAAAAAAAATATGTTTATACATTTAAAATACATAAAAATATGTAAATATATACATATAAAAACTTAAAAAATATACAAATACGTAAAAATAGATATAGATATGTAAGAAATATGTTTATACATTATATAAATTTTTTGACGAAATCTGTAAAAAAGTCTCATTATTTTCGAAAAATTAACAATTTGGTCTTATGACCTGCTGAACAAGTCAAAAAATGCTAAAGTGAATAAATTAGCCGGTTTCTTGGGCTTTTCTATTTAAAATGTAAAAAAATCAAGACTTTTTTGTTAAAAAATAAAATTTAAGATTTTATTAAAATATTTCCTAAGATATTGAGACTTTTGTACAAGTATTTAATGTATTTAACGAGATCATGTAAGCAAAGCTTCGTGGGCTTACTACTCTAGACGGCCCATAAAAACCTTATACATTTGAATGTTTGATGATGTTCTTGTGTGCTGTCTCTCGAATGCAAGTAACATTGGGATTGTCCCTCTAAATAAACGATATATACAAGGCTTACTACTCTAGACGGCCCACACCTGCTTTTAGTGATCTGGAAAGGAAAACCTGTGCACATGTGTATTGCCTACATCATCCATATGACCGAATGTCCCATTTTTAGTTTTGTCAAAGTGACAATATTGACACAAATTTGAAAAATTACACCCTTTAACGTACAAAAAATAAATGAGGGATCATTTAAAATCAAAAGCAATAGATTGTTACCTTATAATGTTATTATCCGTTCTCGAAATGTTCTTACCTCGCAAAATGACATCTAGGTAAAAATAAAAATAAATAAATAAAAAAGAGTAAATTGACAGTTTAGATAAGTGTGTATACTGCCACAATGACAGAACGTATTAAACGATATATCATAATTTTTAAAAGCATGCAAAAAACTATTCCATGAAAATAAAAAAGCTAAGATTTTGAATAAGTAGGTGTAATACGACAATATAAAACATATGTTAAATAATCTATTAATGACTTCCAAAAACGTGAAAAGACCATTTAGCAAAATGAGTTCAGGGTCTCATGAAAATGCTACTTAATAAGGAACTTGGTCAAAGTATAATAAACTACCTGTTTGGATATATATACAGATAAACTATCATATTGATTAAACATGTAAAACAATGTATACACCTATCTCGTAAAAATGTGTTATACAAAGTGCATTTTGATATCATTTGTGAGAATTTATACAACATGTTAAACACTTGTGTTGCTATCATTTCATTTTCTTTGTGCAAATTATTCGTCAAAAATATTCACTCGAGTGAATTTTGATATACTATAATAGTTCATATAAAGATGTAAAATAACAATAAAAAATTAGATTATACAGTGGGTTGACATTTGCTTCACATTTCACGAATATGTCACATTTGATCGTTCAAATGTTATGTTAGCTATTTACTCATTTTGTCAACTAAATTTTGTTGGGACATATAAATCACATAGTTTGATATTTTGTACTTATTATACCATAGCAACCACTACGATAGGTATGATTTGATGCTTATGTGTAATCCACATAGGCTAATAATTATAGTGATAATATGTGTAAGTAGCTTTTTTATTAAAATTTCTTATTTTTTGGAATCTTTTTTTATTAAAAAAATGTACAAAATTTGCAACACAAAGTACAAGTTAATCTTGTGGAACAAGCACAGTTGACCTGCCAAACCACCTTCTTCCCCAAGTTAATTGCCTTCTTCAACAATCTAATCTCCTGTTTCATTCTTCTATAAAATCACGCAAAGCAATTCTGTACCTAACAACTTCTAGCTCTCTTAACGACCGTACCGATGAAGAGAGAGGGTCGTCAACACGGTGTTGTTCGGAGCTACATGATCCTGCCGACTACCTTGTCTCAACGGAAATACGTAAAGACGGTAGATTCCGCCTCCGTCGCCGGTATGTTCACCAAGGTATCAAGGAAGCCAACAAATCAGTCCAAGTTCACCGGGAAATGTGGTAAGGCACGATGCGTCGGTTGTCATATCCATCCGGCTACTAAGTCGAAAGACAAGGCCAAGGGCACCATGAAGTTGAGATCAATCGGATCTGATCCCGGATTAATTGGTTATCCTACTTGTACGTCGGCTACCGGCGTTTTAGCTGACTTAGCTAGCGACGCATGTTATGATGATGGCGATGAATATGATGGTGCAATTGAGGATTGTGACTATGATTACCATGAGGATACTAATTGTAACGTCGAAATTGGGATCGGACTTGCGTCGATTGTAACAGAGGAGCAAATTGGGGGTGAAGATAAAGATGATTGTATGAGTTATTGTGATGTAGGATTGTGTTGGGGAGAAGGAGATGCAGATGAGAATAGAGATGATGGATGGTATTTGGTTGGAGATATTCAGCAGTGATCCAATTTATATGATCAAAACTGGGGTCATCAGTTCATCATATCATATAATGTTCTTCCTTGTTTATATTCAAAGGTATTATTCCTTTACTGGTTTCTAACTTGTACAATAATGTAATGGAGTCATAAATATTTAATAAAATTGTTGATGCGTGTGTATTTTGTATTCTATGAATTATTGTCTTTCGTAATGAATTGATATCACTCCAACTCTAACTTATATCAGATTACAACAAAGATGATCACAAGCTAATGAACAACAAAATTTGATTGGATGAATAATCATTCTAGATGCTATTGATGATTTATATCAGATTATTTAATTAAAATTATGTAACTGACATGATTATATAAGCCTAAAAGTTAAAACTATTAATCAGTTAATTAAAATACAATGCAAAAGCAATCATGGAAATTCTTGTTTATTTTCTCTTGAATTCTAACGTGTGCTCAATCATCACATTTTTACATACTTATTACAAAATGTTTTCGTTTTTGTAAAAATAAGTGATTTTAAAATTGATTTAATATACAAAATTAATTCAATCTACAAATTACTTTTCTCATTATTTTATGAAATATGAATAACTTCGCTAAAACAAATTGCAAAATTCTTTATATTTTAGGAAATTCTTTTGCAAAATAACAATAAGTCTTTAGTGACACCACTAATACACCAATTTTAATAAATTAGATTATCTATGATATTTCATTTATAAATATAATTATTTGGTATTATAATACCCCCCCCCCCCCCCCACCCCCCCAATTTCGTATTTTAGTAATTATTTTCTTGTAAGTCTCGACAACTGCGATGGGATAGATGAGATAGATGTCAACAATCATGTATCACAAGGTATAGAACGACATCGTCACATAGATGCCTCCGACATGAGCCCAAAATCAAGAGGATGTTAATGCTGTTGGAGCTTGAAGAACATAATTACTAAACTACCAAAATAGGAGGTTCATCTATGTGATGTGGTCGCTTTATCCATTGTAAGACATGACTGTCGACATCTACCTCCCTATTTCATGTATTCCTCAAATAGATAAAATTCCTTTAGCCATATTTGTAGGCCAAATGATCGGTTCTATGTTTTTTTTTAAATATGTTCCTCCCCTTGCTCTTTACAACTCTTTTTCTAAACGTGTTACTTTTATACTAAAAATTGTCATAGTCAATCGAAACACCATGAATTTCGACCACACTCATCATAATTGAAACAATAAAATATTTTGTCACGTTTACAAGACCCAACAATTGCATTACATATAAGAACATAAACGTCAATCTGGACTATGGATGCCTTAAAACCAGTCCCACAACCAACATAAAAAAAAAAATTTAAAAAAGGTAAATTAAGTATCATTAAAGCAAAAAAAAAGGTGGTATTGTTTGCACAGGAGACCTTATTTATGGATTTTTCACGACTTAAAGTATGGAAATCACTACAAATATTCCTCCAAGAAAGATACCTTAAATGCTGTTGTATACATAAAAGGTTGAAGTGCAAGAAAAGACCTTATTACTTATTACAACAAAAGGGACTCTGATCCCTTATAAATTACATCTTTCAACTCTTAGAATCTCAAAATCTTTATATAATCTAACAAAATACACATTTTAAGTCATTATCATCTCTCACACAATTTCAACATCATCAATTCTTTAGTCTTTACCTATTCCCCAAATTCTCTTTAAACTCACCACGCGAAGACACACTCCTACTCTTCTTCCCTCTTTTCTTCTGCCTTTTACCTCTAAGTATCACCATCATCACTACCCCAAATCCCAAAACTGAAGACGCCCACAAAAAAATCATCCAAAATCTAAAATCAAGAAGTGTCTGACTTGATTCAGAAGGCAACAATGGGTCCACCACCTTTTCAGACCTATTATCACTTCTCTCAAACATAACTTCATCAACTATGTCCATATCTGGTGGAGGTGGGACCCGGGAACTTTCCCTCACATCACCACATCTCCTCCTTTCATGGTGTAACTGAAGAGCTTCATTCAGTGTCTTTCCGCATTCTATACTTAGCAAGTCACGTTGGTAAGATTCCTCATTTGTTCGGTCAGCTTCTGAAGTTTCGGGCGGATCAGGAAACTTTGCCCAACAGTTGTTGACCAAGTCAACGTCCCTCCAGTTTGCTTTATCAAAACTCCAGTTCCCAACCCTAAAATGTAATCCATAATGAAAAACCCGATACTTAACACCGGGTTCTGGAGCATACCCGGGGTATATCATAATATCACGGCTTATAACATGCTGCAACTTCAACTGCACAAACAAAAAAGAAATATTAAATTCCCATTTTAGTATTTATGCACAAATTGTGGATAAAAAACTTACCTCAGCTGCACCAAAGGAATAGCCATACATTTCACTAATCCACCCAGTTCCATAAATATCACCGGTTATATTTTTCCCATAATGAGCAGTATCAGCTCTAACTTCCTCTGTTTTATGCAACCATAAAAGAGCAAACTTTCTGAGATCATCTATGTGCATTATGATCACACCACCAACTTTATCACAAGCTTCAGGGTGGCTAGTATGGAGTTTTGCAAGCTCGTTGTCACACCCAATAAGGTAACTGACATTATTTACAAAATATATATATATATATATATATATATATATATATATATATATATATATATACATCAGATTCAATCCATATTCCATAATACAAATTATTTCACTAAAGATTTTTGGTTGTCTTACTCGTAAGGAGTTGAAACTGGTTTGCCTTTTGCTGCTTTAAACTCCCATGGTGTAATTGGTCCTCTCATGATCATATCAGCATCAAGAATTACTATAAATTCTGCATCTGTTTTTACATGGTTAAGCCAATGAAGCACTGCAGCTGGTTTATTAATAGCTGGATACCAATCGCCTGTTAATGGATGTCGGCTCATAGAAGGGACATAATGTGTGGGAGCCAAATCATGACCTTTGTATTTTTTTAAATCTTCTTCTGTACAACTAAGAAGCCGTGTAATATTTCCTGGTTGTCCACTGAGTCCAAAGCTGTGCATCAAACCCACTGTTTGCCAATCAAAATACGTGCTACATTCTGTTGAAAAAAGCGTGTGGATTTTTGTAGGTAGATTCTCGGGTTCATCATAATTGATATGTTCTTGAACATGTGTTTCCATTATCTGGAGACTCTTGGGAGTCAAACCTTTCGGCCGAGTCAACTCAGCAAAGTGTTTGCTTTTCAAGAAACTCAAATATTTTGACCATTTTGGTTTTGGGCACCCAAATGCTGCGTGTTGTATTATCAGACCTTGGTTTAGCGTATTAATACATTCTAAATTCAAGAAAAGCCCCCTCACTTTGTGTTTATCAGGCTCCATTGCTTTCACCTACATAAACTCTTAACATTAAGTATATATTATATATAGAATTATAGTTACAGTATCAGGTGACCTGAAATAAAGAAATTTATAATAAAAAAAAAAATTGTTACCTCTCGGGGGAAAGGAGGTTCAGGGAAGAGGCGTCCACAGTCATATACAATATCATCTTCATGGTGTTCTAATTTACTAAAAGACCAGTTTCCAACAGAAAATGGTAAGCCATAATGCATAAGAATAGGTTCAACGCCCTCACGTGGAATATATCCAGGGTAGATCATTAGATTATCATTAATTTTATGTCGAAGTCCCACCTGATAATTTGAATAATAGCAACTAAGAATTTTGAAAGTATAAATATATCAATCGATAATTGGAATTATTGAAATGAATAATTACCTCTGCTGCACCAAATGAGTATCCATACATCTCACTGATCCACCCTTTGCCATAAATATCACCGGTGATATTTGTTGACCAATGAGCAGTGTCTTCTCTCACTTCTTCTGTTTTGGAAAGCCACATTGGTGCTAAAGCTCTAAGATCATCTATATGCATGGCTAAGAGCCCACCAACTTTGTCACATAGTTCTGGGTTCTTTGTGTGCAATTTGGCGAGTACATTATCACATCCCACTAAGTAGCTATGCAATTTTTCAAACGTTGAAGATCCTTAAGTAAATTTCCATCAAGAATGATTAATATATGGAAATTAAGATTATGAAAATGATTATATACCCGTAAAAGGCAGCAACAGGTCTGCCTTTTTCTGCGCCAATCTCCCATGGTAGAATTGGACCTCTGATGATCATATCTGCATCTAGGATAACAACCCAATCAACATTTTGTGCATCTTTACTGTGTTTGAGCCAATGAACAACTCCTGCTGGTTTGTTAATCGCAGGGTACCTGTAGTAAACACACAGATTTAAGATTGTACTTTGACAGGATAAGAAGTGAGAATCTATTGCAGATTTCAACACAAATTTAGTGGTTTAATCAAGCTCAAAACACACAAATGAGCCACAAATTGACCAGGCTATTTCATCACTTAATATCAAATCGATGATATAGTACATCATGCATCTAACCTAATCAATCAAAAGGATATTTACGCAGACAAAATCTCAATAGATTCACAGAGAAAAACGCGCTATTATGGAATTGAATGAAGTTACCAGTCACCAGTTCTAGGGTGTCTACTCATGGAAGGGACTTCAAAGGTGGGAGCCAAGTCCATTCCTCTATAACTCTTCTTCTCCTCGTCAGTGCAGCTGAGAAGCCGTGTAATCGGGCCTGGTTGACCGGATTTCCGGAAGCTATGAACGAGCCCCACCGTCTGCCAGTCGAAGTAATTTTGGCATTCAACTGAAAACAATGTGTGGATCCTGTACGGCGCTTCCTGACCCCATCCGGTATTGATCAAACACAACACCACCACTAAGGTCAATAACCCTGCCATCATGCAGCAACTCGAAGCGACAATTGAGCTGAGTGAGGCCTCGAAGATCTGGATCGCATGACTTTGTGGGTCAAACGTCGAGTGTTTGTTGTTTTTAAAGAGAGAAAGGGTGGTGATGGAGAACCGCAACTGAGAATGAATTGAAAATTGGGGTTTTAGGCTTTGATTTTCAACTGCCACAACCCCATCGATGTGATATGAACATGGAATGATTATTAAAATGATTTGTGATTGTTACATCTAAGAACGAGTTCGAGTGGCTGACTGGATCAAAAGTCAAAGAGGATAATAGATTCATGAACGTTTGCAGCGTGGATTTGTCAAAGGGAAACCAAAGGACGCACCCGTTTATATAGTGAGCGGACTTTGCACCGTTGATTATACAAGTTCATGTTCATCCGACCGCTAAGGTACAAGTTGATATTTGGTGTTTGAGATTGTTTATTTGATTGTTTATATACGTTTATATATTTCAAAATTGTTAACGGTATATTTTAAAGAAAAATCAAGTAAACTAACCATTTTTTTGTGTGTTTTGGAAAAAAAAAAAAAAAAAAAAAAACTCATTTACATTATTTTTTGTGAAATAACCATATTCTTCGGAATAGGCCGTTTCAAAAATAATTCGGACTCATTTTCTAGTGGGTCGGCCATTATATTTCTTTCGGAATGGGTTGTTTCGGAAACAATTATGGAGTACACGTACGTATTCCAGAATATATTATGAAAAAAATTAGACCTCGACTTCATTTTGGATCCCGCTCCGACTTTCCGATTCTGATCACGCCACACCGACTCTCCGATTCCGATTCTAATCTCCGACACGTGACTCCAATATGGAAGATCACTATGATCTGGTTGTTTTACGGGTAAGTTCTTTACTCCAACTTAAGATTTATGTTTATATTTATATCCTCCATAATGAACTGACAATGTTCAGGAGTTACAATAGAAGATGTCAGCGCTTTAGGACGAACCAACGAACCTAGACCTAGTTTAGTTGTTTGTATAATGTGATTATTCACCAAAAATATTGTTCCGAAACAAAACATTAAATTTTGAAATTCGAAGAACACCTCCGGAATGAACTGAAAACGTTCCGGAGTTACAATATAAGATGTAATTGTTTTATGACCAGCCCCAAAGTAGTTTAGTTGTTTATGTCATGTTAGTATACATCGAAATCTAGTGTTCCAAAACATAAAACTGCATTCTGGAACGCTCCGGAATGCGATGAACTAGTTCAGAACTCGAAGAATAGGTCCGGAACACTAAGACCGACCGACATGCGAGACCATGTTCCGGAATTCATGTTTTGGGAAGTGGTTAGAAATTCCTAATGTAAATGTGGATCCCTTGCTTCTAGATTATGTTTTTTGCCACGGAGTTATCATGGACCCCCGAAGTGAAGTAGAGGAAATGGTTTTTTTGAGATTGGGGGTTACGAGTTGTCTTTTGGGAAGAGATAATTGTGTCTTGTCATCAGCTTCCGCTTTGGAGATTATTTTCCTACGTCCGATTCAGGCGCTACCTTTCGTTCCCGTGTGTTTCCTATGGTCGCGAGGAATGTCTCCGTCAAATTAGACGATGTGAAGAATGTGTTTGAGTATTCGCTTAATGACTTATCGCACGAGGATGTGGTTCGTATATGTCTCTTATATCTGTTAGAGAAGGGGTTCAATAGGCGGTTGGCTAAACAACCTATTTTACAGGAGTATTTTGCTTTGGTATTCGACTTTGATGAATTCAACAGGTATCATGTCGTTGATTTATTACAGATTATAATTAAGGGTAATATTACTAATATTTTTTAGAAATGTAATTGGAATTTTTTTATGTCGAAGATATCCATAGGGGAGGATAATTCGGGATCAATTGTACTCACAACTAATTACTATATTCAATAATGTTGACATGCATATACATCTGGTCGAACTGAAAGAGAAACAACCTCAAAAAAATGACCTACACCCTAAACATCTTTTTATACACTTTTAAGGTAAGTACATGATTAACAATTTATTATTTTTTTGTTTACTAACATTCTAATAAATGATTTTTTTTCAGATATGGATTCTTGATACTTTTTTTGTGAGCAGTTTGTTTGGTACCAACAAAAGAATGTGATCCCTCGGGCTGTTGCATGGTCGAAACTGAGGCCTTTACAAAAGGCTCAGTTCAACCAGTTTATAAAAATCGACGACGTATGGTTACTTATATATTTTAAGATTTTATTTTATATGTATAATTTATGTTTATTTATAGTTTTATAATTTTGTTAGCAGGATAATAGACTTGTACACTGAAGCTGAAAGTCGTGCTGAATGGTGGATAGTTAGCTCAACGTGGATTAATCACCCTGATTTTCCCGAAACAGAAGTTCATAGGGCACCTTACCTAACACATCACTCAAACGCTCCCTTACCCATGAACCTCGACAAAATAAGGCACAGATAGATGTTCCATCTCACCCGCCACCACCACCACCGCCGGTCACTGAACCATCCACTGATAATGACCAAATTATTATTGGCTTGCAAAACGTGGTCCGTTAATTGCAAAACGAGCTTAGTGAATGTTCTCAAGCATATGAGGTCACTGGATAAGCGTTTAGCAGAGCATGATGTTACTTTAACCATGCTTCTAAAATTTATCAATAAGACTCCTGAAGACGATGTTGGTACCTCGAAGGGGGTGGAGGTACATTGTTAATTATTTCACTCCCATATAGTTTTTATTTAACTTGATGGTCCTTTTGTTTTTGCATCGTTTATAATTAAACACTATTGAAGGGTATAGATGCTTATCGTGCAAGATGTTGGTACCACAGAGTACAAATATATGTGGGAACTTGATTATGGGTTAGGCACACCCGAACAACCCTGAATGATGGCCCTCAACATCCGTCTGCATGTATCAATCGTTAGATGTAAAAGAGATTTCACAGGATGAATATAAAACGCCCACGGTAGCCCTCTTAGGCGTTCTATGCGCCAAAAAGTTATGTCCATATGGTATAAGTCTGTAACGCCTTGTTCCTGGAATGATTTTATTTCAATTTATTTGCATTTTTCCTGGAGGACTCGTCGAGTTAGAAGCCTCAACTCGACGTGTTGAAGTTGCTTTGGTCGTGAAGTTTAATGAGCCAACTCGACGAGTTGGGGTGCCTCAACTCGGCGAGTTGGCAGCAGGGGAGGAAACCCTAATTTTAGGGTTTTGCAGCCTATTTAAAAACCTTAAGTCCCAGGTGTTGGCCTCATTTATAGCCTCCCTAGCCTTTAACGCTAATCTCGAAACCCTAGAGCCCCTTTGAGTGTTGTGAGTGTGTTTTGGTGTGTTTGAAGCTCTTGGAGGGAAGAAAAGCTTGGTGCAAGGTGGTGGTTCAAGAAGGAGCTCTTAGATCTTAATTATTTGCACCATTTCCATCATATTTCGGGTATTAAGTTCTAACATTGCTTAATATTTGATTAGACCTCTTTTTGGGTTAGTTTATATGCTTTTAGTCATGTTTGGGTAGTTGATGCGGTTGTAGGACGTCCCAAGTGCTATTATTTCAGATCTATGATCCCCATGAGCTCTTTTGGCATAAAGGTGCCAACTTTATTGTAACATCCCAAAAATACAACCCAAAAATTTTTGTTTGAAAACTCTACTAAACCATAATATCAAATATTAAAAGATAAATCCATGGATCATGCGTCTCAAAATGTCATAATAAATTTATCAAATCAACTGATGTCAAAACATATCAAAATATCCGAATAAAACTCCCAGGATAAACTGAAGCTGTGGTGTGTGCCATGCCATCATCCCGAGCTCTTCCCCTTACTAGCGGAAGTACCTGAAACCAAAAACTGAAACTGTAAGCACAAAGCTTAGTGAGCTCCCCCAAACTACCACATACCATACAATAACATATAAAGCAACTACTGGGCCTTGCCCACTGCATCGGACCGAAGTCCGGAAACTGCATCGGACCGAAGTTCGGAACTAACCAGGGCCTTGCCCTCTGCATCGGACCGAAGTCCGGAAACTGCATCGGACCGAAGTCCGGAACTAACCAGGGCCTTGCCCTCTGCATCGGACCGAAGTCCGGAAACTAACCAGGGCCTTGCCCTCTGCATCGGACCGAAATCCGAAACTGACTGAACATAGCATAGCATAATCATAACTGCTAGCATAAACACATATACTGGATACTGCATCAGACCGAAGTCCAAAACACATAACACAAAGACATACTTGAATCACAAAGACATCAAGCACACTGAACTACTGCATCAGACCGAAGTCCGGAACTACTGCTAACTAAACGGGCCGGCATTGTGGCCGTAGACCCGTTCCTACTGGAAGAAAACTCACCTCGTAATGTTGGCTGCTGAGGTGCTAAATCTGAGACTGTCTGACTGCTGCTCCGGAACTCCCCGGCTACAAATCCCATAAACACTAAATCAAATACTGATAACTAATCTCAGGGTAAAATGACTATTTTACCCCTGGTCAAAGTCAACTTCCTGGTCAAAGTCAACTTCCTGGTTGACTCTACTCGCCGAGTCCTACTATGAACTCGCCGATTTCCCGGACTCACACTTCTCTAACTCACAACTCGACTCGCCGAGTCGGGACGTGGACTCGCCGAGTCTCTCTACTTCCAGATCCTTGTTCTAACTCACCGAGTCCTCTTCCACTCGTTGATTCAACTCACAACTCCAAAATCGGAGAAATCGGGAGGATTTGCGCTCCGACTCGCCGAGTCCAAGAACAACTCGTCGAGTCCTATGCATATCCTCACTAAACAGTTGATTCTAATCGATTTTAGTGCATCCAATTCATAGATCTGAGCTTCTAGGGCCGATATAACACGTAAAGTTGCCAACTTTACGTGCATGCATAGAGGTATGAAGCTAAAACACCAAAATAAGCTAGAAATGGGAACTTAGGGTTTGGAACAAGACCTTGCTTTGCATAAAGGTAGCTACTTTGAGCTCCTGGGGCTCAATGATGTCCAGATCTATAGCTCACTACCCTAAGGGAGCTCCAATCTCGAGTTTGGACCTTGAAATGTCCCAAAAGTGGCAAAACAAGCATATATGAAGATCTACTAGGAAAACGAACAAGGTAGAGACTTTATTACCAGATGAAGTAGCAAATGGAAACTAGCTTCTGGATCTCCTTCTTCTCCTTTGCACCTTCTCTCTTTCCTTCACTTCTACCCTTCCAAGAATACACCAAAACACTCAAAATCAAGAAGGAATCACTCAAGCTCACCAAAGGAGGCTAGGGTTTTGAGGGGGAACGCTCTAAGGGTGCTGGAGG